CAGTTAATCAGAGAAAGCAGATGTTGATATGGAAAGCCATAAAATTTAATGCTCATGTAATTTGTGCTTGACGGGAACAGTGATGTGCTTAGTTGTGTTATATGGAAACATAAGGTAGGAAAGATGAGTCTAGAGGTGTAGATATTTTAGGGCTTCAAATGAGATTATATTTTCAAGTTTTAGTGTATTTTTCTTGTATAGTTATTAATAATGGTTCTTTCAAATTAGAAAGTAAAAATACAAATACACTTCAAATAACAAAGATCATTGTTATGAAATACGAAGTCAGAAATCCAAATTGATATGTGTTGGACTGTGTTTTTGGGAGACAGGGAGATTTTCCTTTTAAAAAGGTTCTGCTTATTTATGTGAAGATCAGAATTGCAGAGAGAGAGAGAGAGAGAGAGAGAGGATTATTCCATCTTCTGGTTCATTTCACAAGTACCCGCACAAGTCAGGGCTGATTCAAGTGGAAGCTAGGAGTTTCATCTGGGTCTCCCACATAAATTTCAGGGACCCGAAGTCTCAGACCACCTTCCACTTATTTTGCTAGGTCATTAGGAGCTGGATTCTAAGTTGACCAACTAGGAAGAAAAACTGGTGCCTACATGGGATACACATGTTAAAGGTGGCAGCCTTAGCTGCAGTGTCGCAATGCTTGGCCCAAATGAGTATTTTCAGAAACAGAATAAACATATATGTTAAATCTGGGAAATGTGTTAGAGTAATGAGATAGTGATATAATATAAATAGGTCATAAAACATATACATATTTTGAGGGAATATTTGTGTCCATATAATTTTCTAATCAAATTACCAAATAGTCCAATAGCTTGGATATGAGGCTCGCTTTTCCTCACAGATATGCATGTCTAGGACACGCACACACACACACACACACACACATTTGAGACACATATCTTCTGAAATTATGTATATGTAGTTTCTTATTTTGAAATTGTATCTGGATATGCCTAGATGGCTAAATTGGCTAATCTTAAACTCACAAGCACCAGCATCCCATATGGCTGTCAGTCATACCCTGACTGCTCTAGTTCCCACCCAGCTCCCTGTTTATGGCCTGGGAATGCAGGTGAGGCTGATCCACTACATCCATGGGGAGACTCAGAGGAGGCTCCTGGATTCTGGCTTCAGTTGGGCTCAGCTCAGGCCACTACAATCATTTGGAGAGTGAACAGGCATATAGAAAGTATCTCTCCTTCATTTTGTAAATCTCCACCTTTCCACCTAAAAAAAAAAAATAAAAGAACTTATTCTTGAGTTTTATTGCATGAATTGCAAAAATCACTTAGTTTTTCACTAATTTAGGTAGCATTTTAACTTTTTTACCTGTTCATATCCAATTGTAATCACCAACAATATTAGTTCTTGTATTATAAAGCATCAAAAAGTATCTAATGTACACTGATACAGAAGTTAATAAGGCTACATGTCAAAACTTCATATTTCATTATGCCCGCAACTACCCCATTTCAAGTCACATTGTTGGCATCTGCTGTAAGATATATAATTAATTTTGTCGTCATTGTGAAGTGGCTGCAGGGAAAGAATCTGTAAACTCAACTATCTAGTCAAGTACACCTTGGAAGTAGCAGACTGAAGCTAGGCTGAAATCAAGGAGAAACAGGCTTTTCCATAACTGACTATTTAATGAGACTGTATCTTTCAATGGAATATTTCTTGAAAAAAGCTACCCTTTCCTGTATTTACCTAAATGTATAATCTATAAAAATGCTAAAAATTATAAGGAAAACTCTTACACAATTGGAACATAGAAAACCGTTTTTGAAGACTCTTTGGAACACAAATAATTTTTGTGCAAAAGAAAAAAAAGCAAGGACACTCAGAAAAAAAGACATTTGAAATTTGTTAGACTTGTAGTGGTACTTCTATAAATGCACCTCTTAGCTAAACTAAGCCAGGGCCAGCATGGCAGCCTAGTGGCTAAAGTCCTCCCCTTGCATGTAACAGGATCCCACATGGGCACTAGTTCTAAACCCAGCTGCTGCACTTCCCACCTGGCTCATTGCCTATAGCCTGGAAAAGCAGTCAAGGATGGCCCAAGGCCTTGGGAACCTGCACTCACACGGAAGATGCAGCAGAGGCTCTGAGCTCCTTACACTGGATCAGTTCATCTCTGACCATTGTGGCCACCTGGAGAGTGAGCCAGAGGACAGAAGATCTTTCTATCTCCTCTCTGTATATCTGCCTTTCCAATAAAAATAAATAAATTTTAAAAAATAAAGGGTAAACATATCTTGTTTAAATATGTGAAAACAATTTTAAAAGACAAAATGTAAGTGATTATTTCTCTGAAACTTCTATTTAAAATACTATTAATGAATTATTTCCATAATCCCTAAAATATATATATTTATAAAAGACCAAAATTTAGAATGATTTTCCTTAACAAAAGGCATAATTGAAGCCTCCAAAAAATGTAGGAACTTGGGCATATCTTTGTTGGAATATTAGTAATCACATCTTGAGCTCCTTTTAAAAAATACATATTTATATTTATTCTAGGAGAAACAAAGATAAAGCTCTTCTAGCTGCTGGTTCACTCCCCAAGTGGGCACAATGGTCAGAGCAGAGTTGATTCTAAGTCAGGATCCAGGAGCCAGAAGCTTCTTCTGGGTCTCCCACCTGGGTACAGATGATCAAGAACTTGAGCTATCCTCCACTGCTTGCCCAATACACCACACCATCAGGAATCTGGGCGGGAAATGAGGTAGCCAGGACATGAACAATTGTCTATATGGGATGCCAGTTCTTGCAAGGTGATGACTTAGTAACTGAGCCATCATGTCAGATCATGAAGCTCATTTTTTAAAAATGATCTTGTTTATTTTTATTGGAAAGGGATATGTACAGAGAGGTGGAGAAAGAGAGAGAGGAAGATATTCTGTCCTCTGATTCATTCCCCAAGTGACTACAACGGCTGGGACTGAGTTGATGCAAAGCCAGGAGATTCTTCCAGGTCTCCCATGTGAGTGCAGGGTGCCAAAGCTTTAGTTTTGGACCATCCTTAGCTGCTTTCCCAGGCCACAGGCAGGGAGCTGGATGGGAAGCGGGACCACGCAAGGTGAAGACTTTAGCCATTAGGCTACTGCATTGGCTTTCTGAAGCTCATTTTTAAGATTAAATTTAATTTCTTATATTCACACAGCACAGCAATGTGATTATGGTTCACACTAACCAACTGCATTTTAAAAATATGTCTTTGTTTTTATTTGGAAAGCAGAGTAACAGAGAGACAGAAAGAAAAAGAGAAGATTTTCCATCCACTGATTCACTCTCTGAATGGCCTCAGTAGTTGCAGGTTGAAATGTCTGAAGCCAGGAAACAAGAACTAGGAGCTTCTTCAAGGTCTCCCGTTGGACAGCCAGGTCATGTTAGTACTTTGACCATGTTCTGTTCCTTTCCCAGGCACACTGGCAGGAAGTTGGATTGGTGGAGCAGCTGGGAAGAGAATTAGTGCCCGACGAGATGCAGGTGGCAGCTTTACTTTTTGCCCTAATGTCCAACTCATAAACTATTATATTTATGAGCAAATAGAAGAGTACAATTTGAAGGCTCCAATCATAATCTGATATCAAACAGGGAAATTTTTCAATTTCCATGATTAATATATTGTATACATTAAAGTGTCACCTTGAACTTCCAAAAGCTTTTAGAGGACAAAATATTGTTTATCTTGTTGGCTTGACCTCTTTGTTTTGGTGATTCTCAGTATAACAAAATGAACCTGGTCCATTTTATTGTGCAAAGAAGATTTTATAGATTTATTTTCTCACATAAGTACTTTGGAATCCTGGAAATGCGCACATGAGCCAGGGACAAGGTAAGGTCTTTACAGTCCTAAAGTCAAATGTTCTATGACTCAGTTACAAGTGCTGATCTTTTTTTGTTTGTTTGTTTTTATATTCATCTGCATAATGTTTATTCTGGTGAAATGAGACCATTTAAAACTGATACATTGCCCTTGAATAAAAGTCAGAACCAAAAACATATATAAATGCATAAAACACAACTTAGTTATCTGATAAAATATAATATAGAATTCCTCACAAATTTTTTGGACTGTACCAAGTCATTTCAGCATAGAATGTTTTCAGCATAATATCTTTAAAGAAATATTAATTTACTGATTTGAAAGCTGGAGTTGGAGAAAGAAAAAGAGAGAGAAAGAAAGAGAATGAGAGAGATATTCTACTCACTAGCTCACTCCCCAAATGCCACCACAGCCAGGGCTGAGTCATACAGCAGCCAGGAGCCAAGAGATTCATCTTTGACATGTGAATGGCAGAGGCCCAAACACTCAAGCTACATTCTGTTGTTTTTCTGACTTGGAAGCATAGCAGCTGGGACACAAGGATTCCATATGGAGTTCAAATATCATCAGTGGCAGCTTTACCTGCCACGCTACAATGACGATCCCAGGAAAAACAATTAAAAGCAGTGTGAGTTCAAAATATCTTATGGTTTCTGTGTGCTGAAATTTTCTGAAAAGTATCTAAGTACATAAAAAAACAATAACTCTGATATTGAGCATTAAAAGATTGACTTACAGATGGCAATTAAATATTTGGTGTGAAATCTTCAAAATAGGACAGCTTATCTTACAGACAAAAGTACTTTACTTACAGTTTATGCCAATCATCAAGTTAAGGAACAGGATAATGCAGAATGAGAAAAGTTAGTCAGTATTTATGATAGGTAATATGGGGAAGAATTACTGACAACAAACTATAAATATTGTGTTCGTAGCCACTGTATTGTGGTAGCTGTACTCTTATTAGTGGTATTGCAAAGAAAAGTTAAATGTTTAATTAAATTACACATTATATAAAGGAGGGGTCATTAACTTACTCCAATTAACTTACTCTCTTGTTGCTTGGAATAAAATCTTCACAATTCACAACTCATCGAAAGCTTAGCAAGTTAACCCTCTGCTTTTAAAATCGATATTGCAGAGTATGGCGTGGAGGAGAATGGAGACCAAACCTGTGATAACCTGTCTCAAAACCCTCCTCATCATCTGCCCCTTCATCTTCTGGATCACTGCGGTGATCCTGCTGGCCGTCGGAGTCTGGGGCAAGCTCACACTTGGAACCTACATCTCCCTCACTGCTGAGAACTCCACAAATGCTCCCTATGTGCTCGTCGGAACCGGCGCCACCATCATCATTTCTGGCTGTTTGGATGCTTTGCCACCTGCCGTGCCATTGATGCTGAAGCTGTATGCCATGTTCCTGCCCCTGAGCTTGTCCCTGGCATGTAAGGCTGTGTGTTTCGTCATGAGATCAAGGACACTTTCCTCAGGACTTACACAGATGCCATGCAGAATTACAATAGCAATGATGAGAGGAGCCGGGCAGTGGACCATGTGCAGCGCAGCTTGAGCTGCTGTGGTGTGCAGAACTACACCAACTGGAGCACCAATCCCTACTTCCTGGAGCACGGCATTCCCCCGAGTTGCTGCAGGAATGAAACTGATTTCAATGCCCAGGATCTACACAATCTGACTATGGCCGCCACCAAAGTTAAAGAGAAGGGCTGTTATGATCTGGTGACCAGTTTCATGGAGACAAACATGGGGATCATTGCTGGAGTTACGTTTGGAATCGCCTTCTCTCAGTTGATTGGCATGCTGTTGGCCTGCTGTCTGTCCCGGTTCATCACGGCCAATCAATATGAGATGGTGTAAGGAGAAGGCTGCCTACCACATGTAAGGAGACACCTCGGTAATTGCTTATGAGGAGGAGAACATCATGTGTCATGCATGAAAGAAGTTTGTAAGCAATTAGGTGGCCTCCTTTCTCGTTGTTCCGTATCTGGCTATGTAGAGATAGTTTAGTGCACCTCTGCCTCTCAGTTGAGCCTGTATAATCCTGTTACAAAGCTGAATTGTTGCTTCCTGTAAAGACGATGGCATCACTTTTGTTTTCCCCAATTAATTGTGATTGTGTCATTTTAGTACTTCTTTCTGTATTTTTTCTTCTTGCATTGACATTAAAGACATTGAAGACCTCATCTGATCATTTAAAAATGAGTGTGAACAAAAGTCAAAATATTTTTAAAAGTTCTTTAAAATAAATGCCTCTGTCTAGCATGCCAACAAGAATGCATTGGTATTGGGAACATTTGTGATATATGTATTAATAAATAGAGCAATGTCAAATGGCTGTGTTCTACTTCTGCTCTTTGATCGTGCTGAAAGTTTTGGAACTTGTATTTCTGTTGCAACATGCTCTGTGGAGTATTGGGGACTGCCGATCTGACATGACACCCCCTCCACACAGGTTCCTATCCTAGACCCCCTAAAAACTGCATCATGTGTCCTAAAAGCTGGTGGTTAGAATTTTAATTATGGACATTTCAGAAACTGGAATCATTTATCATGAACAAGATATATTATCGACTGCAGAAATAGAGGCCTCATGTTATTCTAGATCTCTTAAATCCTCTGGCCTGTGGAAATAAACACATAAAGTAGAAAAAAAAAGCAATATTGCACATGAATGACAATTAGTGTCCTGGCTGCTCCACTTCCCATCCAGCACCCTGCTCATCACCTGGGAAGGTGGTGAACAATGGCCCAAGTCTTTGGAATTCTGTATCTGAGGATTCCAGAATCCAAGCAAGCTCCTGCCTTCGGATTGGCTGATCTCAGGCCTTTATATCTAGAGGAATGAACCAGCTGATGGAAAATCGGTGTGTGTGTGTGTGTGTGTCCTCTCTGTAAATTCTGCTTTTCTAATAGAAACAAATCTTTAAAAACACAATTTACGGGCCTGGTGCAGTAGTGTAGCGACTAACATTCTTGCCTTGAATGCGTTGGGAGTCCATATGGATACCAGTTCTAATCCCAGTGTCCCCGGTTCCCATTCAGCTCCCTGCTTGTGGCCTGGGAGGGCAGTCAAGGTTAGCCCAAAGCTTTGGGACCCTGCACCCACGTGGGAGACCCAGAAGAAGTTTCTGGTTCCAGGCTTCCAATCAGCACAGCTCAGTCCATTGCAGTCTCTTGGGCAGTGAATCATCAGATGTGACATCTTCCTCTCTGTCTCTCCTCTCTTTATACCTGACTTTGCAATAAAAATAAATAAATCATTAAAAAAGATAATTTACAACTCAATGTGAAAATCTATATTTTTATAGGATCAGCCAGGGATACCATCAAGTTCTTACAACTGTTGATTATGAGTGCATCTTATGGTTCTGAGACTGGCAGCAATCATGACTGAAAAACACACAGGTACTAAATTAAATTAAGTTGTTGAAGAAACCTTGGAATGAACAAATCTATCATCCATGCGTTATCACTCTACTATCATCAAAACTTGAATGACTGGCCTCATTTGTGGCCTCATTGAGTGTCCCTGCATACACTTAGAAGTGAAGTACTACTCAGATCCTGTCTTACTTTCCTGGATACTCTTAACATAATAAAAACCCCAAATATTCTGAATTTTACCACTTTTGTGTCAGTTTCACTGTGTTCCAAGCTACCTATTCTAAAGATACACAAGCACGCATACAATTTGTTGTCACTAACCAATTCTGTCTTTATCATCCTTTAATATTTCTGTAGAAGAATTTATAGTCTTTCCTTAAAAAATGTGAGAATTCCAAAAAAAGAAAAGTTTAGGCTTAGTCTCAGGCACTTTTTTATATTTTATTATTATTATTATTATCATTTCATGATACAGTTCCCTATTCCCTTATCCCCTTCCCAATTCCCTCCCCACCACCTAGTTCCTCTATATCATTACTAACATATAGTTCCTCATACACAGTCATATGTCCATCACTGCAGGCATGGACAATGGCAGAGTGGCCAGAATCCTATTGTCATGATATAGCAAACAGTTTAATTGTAAGTCCATCTTTGTCTGGAAGCAGAAATGCATATTACACTGCATCTTCACATCTGGATGTTAGTCTCCATTATACCACTACTGTATATTCCCTTAAATGAAAAGTCATGATACAAAAGCAACAACAGAAAGAAAAACAGAAATTTACAATGCCATAAAGTCAAATGACATGTTATTAGATATGACAATCTCCATTACACAGCTACTATACATCCCCTTAAATGAAGAACCACAAAACAAAATCAACATCAGGGAGAAAAAAGAAACTAACAACACCTAGAAATTAAATAACATGCTATTAAATGACTAACGTGTACCTGAAGAAATGAAAATCAAGAACCTTCTTGAAGAAAATGATGCCACTCATGATCTACGAGTCATTGAATAGTTTAATCAGAAGAAAGTGTTTTGAAGAGATGAATCCAACAGAAAACAACAAAATCCATTTGATATAGTTTCCGCTGTTCTTTGTTGGTGAAGTGTGTTTCCTCCAAACAATAAACAGTTGGGTTTTGTTTTTAATCCAGTCTACTAATCTATGATGTTTGATTGAGCTTAAGCCATTTACATTCAGAGCATAAGAAGTATGGGTGGAACTTTGGTCCTGTCATTTTAGGAATGGGTTGTTCATTGGTTTAGTCTTCTGTTGTCATTACAGTGTGATGTTCTTTCCATTTGCCTTTGGTTTTGATAGGTGCTATTACTCTTCTCTGTCAAGAGAACATCTTGAAGTATCATTTGTAGGGCAGGTTTGGAAGAGGCAAATTCTTTTAACTTTTGTTTCTTGTGGAAGAATTTTATTTCATTTTCAAAGACAAAAGAAAGCTTTGCTGGATATTTTTTTTTTCTTTTAGAATCTGGAATATGTCACTCCATTCTCTTCTTGCCTGTAGAGTTTCCTGTGAGAGATCTCCTGTGAGTTTAATTGGCATTCCTTTATATGTCAATTGATTTTTTTTTCACATGCACATTTAAGGATCTTTTCATTATGTTCAATTAAAGAGATCTTGATAATCATGTGTCTTGGTGAAGATCGCTTTTGGTCAAGCCTGTTGGGAGTTCTGTGCTCCTCCTGGATGTTGTTTGCCAATTCTTTCTCCAGATTAGGGAAATTTTCCTTGATTATTTCATTAGATAAATTTGTAAAACCAGTTTCTCTTTCTGCACCTTCTGGGACTCCCATAACTCTTATATTTGCCCTTTTAATATTGCCTTTCAATTCTTGAATACTTTTTTTGGCCTGATCCAGCTCTGCTTCCAGCTTTTTGTTTCTTCCCCTTGATGACAGAAAATATCTTCTAATTCTGAGAGTCTTTCTTCTGCTTGCTTCATTCTGTTTTGAAGACTCTCCACTGTACTTTTAATTTGCTCTGCTGTGTTCTTAATTTCTGATATATCAGCCTTGATTTGATACATTGCTTCCTTAAATTCTTTGAACTCTTGCATGAGCTTGTCATTTTTGATCAGAAGCTTTAAAATGAGTCTATGGATTCTGTGCCCCCATTTTCTCGATGTCATCCTCAGTTAACTCTGCAGTTGGCATAGGGTTTTGCTCCTTTCCAGGGAAGTTTTCGGTAATATTCATTGTGCCTTTGTCTCTTTTGTTCTTAATCATTGTACTTCTGGTTAGTACAGTCTTCTCATTGGGGAAGGTTTCTAAGCTGTGTCACCCAGAGGTCTGGTTGCTGGTGGAGTTCCAGCTGCTGGTGGAGTTCAGATTGTCTGTTAGCTGAATGCCACTGGAGCATCAGTCACTGCAACACCACACCGTTGTGTCCGCTGCTTTCCTGTGTCTGTCAGCCTCCAGGTACCCCTTTGCTGTTGTTCTGTCCTTTCCTATTTCCTGAAATATGTCCTCTCTGCTTCATCCTAATTAAATGTTTTTGCGTCTGTTTAAACATGCCCTTACCCTATTCCGCAATCTTCATTCTCCCCAGGCACTTTCTTCAGGAGAAATATGTATCTTTCTCTGTAATTGTAAATGCCTTCATTACTCACTCCCTGTATCCTCAGTCCTGTGCTCAATTAGAATAGATCTTAAATTAAAATGTGTTAGTTTTCTCATATCCAGATCCAAGGCATCAGAATCTATCCAAAAAGTAGAGTGCAGGAAGACCTTGTCGTATTTACTAGTAAATATGCACATCCATGACTTCTTTATTTTGTCTGGTTTTGATATTTTAAAAGCTTATGTGTATCTATTTCATTTATTTTAGAGAAAGAGAAAAGGGAGAAGAGTCACAAACACAAAACAACAACAATAACAACAACAACAACAAAACTCCCGTCTATTTGTTCACTCCCCAGTCACCTACAAAGGTAGCACCTGGCCAGATCATACTCTATAACAGGAAGCTAAACCCAGCTCTTGCACAGGAGAAATTCAGCTCTTGCACAGGAGAAACAGAGACCTAGTTGAGATGTGCTGATGTCTGGGTACAAAGTAGCAGCAAGTTAGGATTGAACGGAGAGCTAGGACTAGCTTCGTCAATGTAGTGCCAGACACGTGCCATGCTCCTAGTTTTAAAGCTTAAGTCTTCAAGTACCTTTGTAGTTCCCAGTAGACCTTAACTTTTTTTTTTAAGAGTAGGTGTCAAAACTTGCAGGAAAATAACAACAATATATGTTTATTTTTTTAAATGACAAGGCGTTTGTTGTTCTGAGAGTTATAATTCTCAACACTTGTACAGAATGTACTGGGAATTTAATGATATGAAAATATTTTGTAAGAATAGGACAGGGATATGCAGAGAACCACCAGTATATAGTCACTGACAGAATGCTAGGCTGCAGGGACTCGTGATAATATACTGATAATAACCATTGGGTT